CCCATTAAAATTAGACAGATGCTCAAATTGTTTCCTGATCGAGGATCCTTGGCAGTTACTTTCAATCTGACGTTCCTTGAAACTGGCTATCCCAAGGGCAGTTCCCATTTTGCAACACAAAGTCAATATGATACGTTATGGGAGAATCTTTTCTCATGAAGACTTTACTATTGTTCCCATTTTCTTTCTTTCATCTAGAATAAAAATAACTCATGCTGAAAATACAGCTTGTGCATACTGTCAATTAAAAACAAATCAGGAAATCACTCTGCTATGTTAAATCACATGTGCCTAGTTATGATTTTACATGCTGGGGAGAAAACAAATTCCATGGTCCCATGGTATTTTGTGATAGTGATAACAATGATTTTTTTTTATTATTTTTTAAAGATTGATTAGAATACATATTTAATGTCTTCAGCATTTCTTGTCTCCTGTAAAGATCCATTTTAGTTAAAGTATTGAGTACTGCTTTTGTGAACACTAGGCACCCCATTCAGAACAAGTTTATTTTTTTCCATGCTTATATCATTAACGTATGCATCCAAAGATTCCTGTGGTGAGTGAAATTATTGGGTTCTCTACTAACAAATACATGTGGTTCCTGTTTACAGTGATGTTTCCAGGTATGTTAAAATGAGGAATCTTGGAGAACAGCCAGCTTTGATTTTTCGGATGAAAGCGATGTGTCTTGCAGTTGGCTATGATTCTTCAGTAAGACACCAAAAGGAGATATTAAAAACAGAGAAACTGAGAGAAAGAGTATGTGTTGACCTAACATAGCACAGTGGGTGTAAATTCTGCCTTTGGTTGCACTGAAACAATTCTCCTGAAGTCACTGCTGCAGGAAGTAAGCCTTAATTTTCCACATAATCAATAAACAAAAAGTTGATGCCACAATGACTCAAAGCAGAGGAAACAGCCAAATGATGGGCCATGCAGACTATCTTCTTGGCTCTTCACAAAACAAGATAATTCACTTGTGGTTTTGGTTGTTTGTTTTTGTTTTGTTTTTTAACAGAACTGCTTCAACTGTTGTTTCTCTGTCTAAGCCCAAGTGAGTATACTGAGATTAGGTAAAATATTTTCTATGAATAAGCATGGAGTCATGAGGCTGAGATCCAAAGAATCATTTTACATGTAGACAGTTGATGAAACCTTTTATGGAAAATTAATATTGAAAAGAATGATGAATGTAATTACTACTAGCCTCTGAGGGAATAATAAAAAAAGCATAAATGTAGATGGCAAATTCATACAACTGCAATACAATATGGCAGTAGAAAAAGGACATTGTAACTTGATGCTGCACACTGAGAAACTGTATCAGAGCAGAAAGAGCTGAAGAAAAGTGCCAATGAAAACAGTACCTGGAATTCCATTTTTAGATTGCTGGCCAGGATGTGTTGCTGGGTAAGGGACACTCAAGGAGCAGCAACATTTCTGGGAAATATTTAAGAGAAAACTGTGTTCTTAGAATGTATTCTTTTGCTGAGAATGATGGAAGAGAAATGTATTTCAAAAATAAAAATTTAAATGCAAAAATATGCAGAGATAACAATTAAAAAATTGTCTCAATACAAGAACAAGAATAGCCAGACCTCAAGAACACCTTGTTCACTTTGGTGATCTCATGTTCATTTTTCTCAGTCTTTAAGATGTAGGTTAGCTGCTAGGAGTGATCTGACTGCATAGTGGTATCTCAAGACAGTTGTCATTTGTGGAATTTATAGTTAGTCTAGTCAAAAAAGCTAGAAATATAGTCTGTAAAGGATATAGCTGCAAGCATATAAGAGTTGCAGCAAGCACATTCAGAGCATGCCTCAGCCAGTGAAGCTGGCAAAGCAGTCTGCAAGCTTTCATACTAGGGGAAGCCCCTTATTCTTTGGGTAGTATCATTCAAGGCAGGCAAGGCGAACTTGCTGGTCTGGCAGGGCAGGCAGTAGCCAGCAGCTTTGCCTATGCCAAAGGGCACAAAGGTTGTTCGTAAGAGGAGTGTATAAGCAGCAAATTTCAACCTCTTCCTCTGCTCTGCAGCCAAGGAAGGGGTTTTGCCAAATGAAAGCAGTACTAATCCCTTTTTCACAGATACCTGAGGTAAGTTTCACCAATCCATCTCATCTTGACCCTACTCCTTAGGGTGTCTCCAGATCTGCTCCACTGCCCATTAACTGCCTTTAATCCTTTTACTTGTCTAGTGGGCTGAGCTGCTTTCGTTTTCTCCCACCACCAGCTTGCCTGCAACAACCTTCTGAACACCTTTCACTTCTCCACGTACAAGAAGTTGCATTGTGGAATTTTATCTTACCACCCAAAAGGCAGATTAGTCAAGTGAGGTTAATTTTCACTGCCCTAGAGGGACATTCTAGTTTGTGATAGATGAGTTTGTGCAGTAACATTCATCTGATGAATGTGGACCTTAGGCTAGGTCTGCTTCAGCCAACATTACAGCTCAGGGGAAGTGAGTTCATAGACCAAATTGGTATTGAGTGCCTCCTGGACACGCTTCATGCATTTTGGGGCTTTGGTATTCAGTTTAATATCTTAAAAGTATTTAACTTTCAGAGTATATCTTATTTGAAGTGTGGTAGGCCTGCATCTTCTGATTTAGTTCAGTCTGGAAGAAAATTTGTTTGGCTATCTTGAAAAGGTTCCACAAGCACAGAAAAGGGAGATATAAATTAAAACTCTGATTTGAATGCACCCTCAGACTCCTGCATTTTACAGATATTCTTAAGAGCCTCTTCTAGGAGAACTGGTTTTAAAAAGCCTTTGGAAAGGACAAATTAATTGCATCCATCAGTTTACTTTTATCTACTATTTTATTCTTTCAAAGAATTTTGATAAGATATAGACATGTTTACTATTACAGAAACTGAGTAGTTCAGTTCTCACCATTTTATATTAATCTGTGGTGCTCTACAGCTCCCTCTTCAATTATTGTTACAGTGCAAAGAAAAACAACTGAGAACAAGACCATAAACAGAGCCCAAAAACCACACTTTGAATAATATTTACTATGCAAAGCATCTCATTTCAATCTATCAAGCAAATAGAGTTTGTTTTAATGAATAAATTTGGAAATATCACTTCCAGCTTTTTTTGAACATTTGTACCAGTTGGAACAGCCAACACCTTGCTGAATAGATGGTGCATAAAATCGTTCTTTTCAAAGAGACTAGGAGATCAGTTACTAGATCAGATACCACATCCAGGAGATGTCTCTTTACCTTAGCAGCCTATCCAATTGTAAGTTTAAATGACAGGAGCACAGAGAAAAAGAGTGGGTTTCCTGTGAAAATGAGAGATGTTTTGGGACATTTATAAGATTCAATAGAATCAGAATCCACCCTTCTTTTGACCCCTAGATCATATTCAACTAAATAAAGCTGCTTCTCAAAAGTGAAATGTTCCCAGCACATCCCGTTTTGACAGCTAAAACCTGACAGTGTAAGGTCTTCCTGTGTGTACAGGACAACCACTGGAAGGTCTGTGAACTTTTACTCTGCTACCATGTGTTACCCTTACTGTGAGATGATCTCAATGGCATCTGCAGAAATAGTAATTCCAAAATAAAGTTATAATTATGAACATGAGAATAATAGGGGAAAAAACATTGTTCCTTCCAAGCAGATGTCATACAGCATAACAAAGGAACACTGGCAGTGGGTTAAATCTGAACTGCACAGCTCTCAGTAGAAAGAAACTGAGTTAATCTGGTAGCACCATCTTCCATGAGCATTTTACATGGGGACAGCTAAAGAATTTTGATCGTTTTAGGTTCGGTGAAGCTGAATTCTAAAAGAAATCAAGATTATTTGTACTTTCTCTCCAGCAACAGGAATGTTCATTTGATAAGATATGATCTCTTATCTACAATGCATGATGGAATCCTCTTTTGCCATGTTTTAAAGGTATTAGTGAGAGCATGAAGACAACTGGAAAAATTGTGAAGAAAAAGTGCCAAAACAAATGAAGTGACTTTCTGCAGTAAATTCTTAAGCAGCACTTCAAGTGCAATTCAGGACATCAAGTAGGGGAAATGAGATACAGGATAGAAGACGAGTTTTCTTCTTGAATTCAAGATGGTGAATCAGCAATGTACAGAAATATAATGCAAAAAAAATAAGACAAAGGGCTGCTAAGTAGTCCCTATAAATGTTATATAGATACTGATACTTTTATACTTTCCGGATGAGCCTAACTTTAGATCTTTTATTACAGACTCACAAATAATCTTCCAGTAATAGTATTTAACTATGAATAGTATGTTCAGAGCATCCTCCATTATTAAAGTTAGGAATCAGTTGCTGCTTAAAAAGCAAGTTCCAATTTCTGAAAGACATTTTGTAGTTATTTATATGATTCTGTCTGCCTAGGATATAATGTGATATTTTTTTCTCCCCCCAGACAAAAGTTTCAGGCAAGGAAAAGTAAAATATACATGCCTTTTTTTTTTTTTTTTTTTTTTGACAAAGCCTAACTATTTGATATTTCTGAGAGGTATTGCACTGCGGAGATGCAGAATATCTCAGGTTAGAGAAAAGTCTGGGATAGAGATGAAATTCTGGATTGTCTGAAGAACACTAATAAAATGCAACCAATTCTGACACAAGGTTCAAATATCATCATTAAGGATGATTAAGTGTTTAAAACAAGTAATCAAAACAAATTAAGAGAAGGCTAGAAGTGCAAACAAAATAATATTGACCAAAACAAGATCTGTCCAGATTGCTGTATTTTTTTTTTTTTTTTTTTTTAATTTCTCAGCCTATGAAAAATACATCAGGCTTCCAGTAATATTCCTTTCAAAATATTCCATTGCCTTTCTGAGAAAAACAGCTTCAAACAACATTGTCTGAAACAGTTTGAAATGAATCAGCTAACATTCACATTCTGGAACAGTTCACAAAAATGTTGACAAGCACAGAATTCTTCCAGCAGGTTTCTGATTTGACGGATTTGGGTCCTTAGACTTCAATTTATTACCCCACAACTCTGTCTTTCTCTTTTTTGCCGACATCCAAATTGGCTGTTGCCATTGTACCTGAAGCTTTCACATTTACAGTGGGAAGGGTACAAAATAGAAGCCTGTGAAGTGAGGACAAATCAGACAAGCTAATCTCACTTGGGCTACAAAGGAGCCTGATAGCCTAAGAATGGATCTGGTATAATGATTCAGGCATTAAGAGTACTCAATAAAAGAACAGTCAAGATACACAGTTGTGTGAAGATTTTGGTAGAGATAATAATAATCACCACCAGAACAATAATAACAACAATAATACCTGCTAGGAAGGTGTGGGGGTGTTCTTATGGACCACCTTTGGCAAACAGCCTGAGTAAAAGCACCTGTAGGATAAGGAAGTGAAAATAAAAAAAAGCATATGTATACAGAGTATCCAAAACATGTAGGGTATCTGCCCCAACCTGATCATATTGAAAAGGACAGTGATTACTATCTGGATAAAATAGCAATTGGGAAATTACAAAGAGAAACAGACAGGTCAGCCTGAAAAGACGTATAACAGAAGCATGACAGTCTGTAATTATGGGAGAAACCTCTGAGAAGAATAGTGGCCAACAAAACTGGATGTAACATGGCAGTAAGCTATCCTGCTGGCACCACAACCTTCATCAAGTCCAGAAGAAACAGCCTCCCTCTCCAGGCTTTGGGCAGCCTGTACCCAGAGGGGATGAAAGTGTAGAGGAAACAAGCAGGGGCCCACCCTCAGGGAACCTAGGTTTCTAGGGAAGGGGTGCTTGTGACCCATACCCACAATCTGTGTGTATAACTAATGGCTTGTAATGAGGAATAGGACTTACTTAACATTAGCTAAAGGAGGATGTTTATAAGTTTGCAGGCCTTTATTAGCAATCTGTAAGTATGTAGCATTACTTTACCTCATTCTCTCCTCATCCTTATCTGAAGATATAGTTCACTAATTGCCTGCTAATTATCTATTAGTAAATCAATAAAATACCATTATTCCAGATTGGTTAAACTGTGGGCACTGAGCAGTTTCTTTCCTTGTGATAGGAGGAGTGACGAGAAATATTTTCCATTTCATTACTGGGAGATAATGTAGGTTTCCAAAGAGGAGTGAATAGGCAGACATATATATATATATATATATATATATATATATATGTACTAGTAAAGATAATGGAGTGGTAGATATGGATTTACAACCTACACAGAAGAAAAAGATCTAACCAATAATGGACACATTCATGGTAATGCTCCCTGCTGAGAACGTGAAGTAAGGGAAGGGACCTGGAGAATTTTAGAATAAGCTCCATAGAAGTGCTTTCTCACACCTCTTGATGGTGAGCTCAGTAGAGAAAGCAAAGATACCAGGTGGGTAGCCAGTATTAGTACTGTCTTCAAAAGCAATCGGAAGGCATGTCCTAAAGACCCTGAAAAGCGTAGAAGGGAAACCATAGTTATCAGCTGAGGTGGTAAATAGAAAAAGCAAAGTCTGAGACTCAAGATGGGACTCATGCAAGATGCCCTGGTAAATGACAGGAAAAAGCAGAGCTGTCTCATTTAGACATTGAAAAGTAGAGATTAATCTCTTGCTGTTCCACATGGTTTTAGAGAGGGCAAGTATCCCAGGTGTGGATGTAGCAGTAAGTTAGCAGTAAGTTAGATTTCTTCAAAAAGGAGGAGTAGCCTTTGGCTACATATATGGCACTGCTGCATCCTTTTACTTCATGTTTGAATACAAATCGCTGCCAGAAATCTTGAAAGAATTACAACAGCATGGTAATTTTCAGGAAAATTAAGCAATTAATGGCATCATTAGGAATATACAAATAAACAAAAACTTTATAACATCATCATTTATGGGATACTTTAATGTTTACATTGTGATATTGTTTATTATGCTTATATTGTAGCTACTCCTGCTCCAAAATCTCTCACTTTTAATAATCTCTACAGATTCTTGAGTACACTAAAATACTGTATTTTTGGACAATTTTTAGCTTCACCTGACTACCAACTGCAGGTAAAAACCTTTTCTTAAAGCTGATGGTTTGTGATCAGAGATTAATGAAAGCTTTTGTGACCAAAAAGTAATATTAATTTTCTATTATAACACTGATTTTAATATATTTTTCTTGTGCTGACACGGAAGAGCTAAACGGCTTGTTAAGACACTCAGTGCAAATTCTTAGTGTGATGGAATAAATATAATTGATAAATACTTGTTCAGCCATTTTCAAAGGATAAAGTCCTTTTTCTGTGGTTTAAGTTCGAGGAAATTTATCTCTATGAAAACATCTGAGTGAATATTGAAGTAGTCTCTTCACCAGAACAGTAGAGGACTTATAGCTTTAAATTGTGGAGGAAATTTCTGAAGGAAAGTATAGTATTGTTATAATATAAACATCTGTAGTTGAAAGAAATGATTATACAGGTAAAATATCAGGTAAGAAAAGGTTGGCTTTTTCCACATATTCTTAAAAATACCATGTCAAACTGGCAGTGACTTTCATATTGTTAGAAGTTGGTTCAGCATGATTTTGGCACCCTATGTTCTGTGTCAAATTATTTGAGCTGAATGCTTTTTTTCCTTCACCAGTTGTATAAGAAGTTTGTTAGTTTTATAGCTCTTCCCTTCCTATCATAAATTAAAAAGCTTAGGGAGGAGTTGCTCCCTTGAGTTACTTCTGAAGTTCCGAAAGTTTTGGCACAGCCAGCTCCTTAGCATTCAATAACTTTCTAAAAGAATATGAACTTTCTGAGAGACCTGCAACAGCTCCATCCTGTAAGATTGGAACAGCATTTATTGTTCCAGGGAGGAGTTGCCTTTCAATTTGGCACAGGAATAGTGTGCTCTGATCAGTGTTGTCAAGTGTTTGCTGCTTGCAAGTTATTGAAGTGGGTTGGTAGCCAAGAAAAGTTGCTATGGTAAAGAATTGTTTTGATAAAAAAAAAAAATAGGAGGGCAGCACAGACCTACCACCAGGAATAAGTCTGTTGAGATGATGTATTATGAATCAAAAAAGTATAAATACTGGGTTAGTAAACTAGCAGTGCAAAAGTTTTGAAGGCAGTGCTGATGTAGAGGTAAAAAAAAATTACAAGTGAGAGGACGGGGCTCAGGAATTAATGATGACTTAATTGGAAGATTTCATTTTTAGATTAAAAAATTAAGCAAGCTCCCATTGGTAGTAACAGAACTGTATCATATGGATGACAGCAGTTGAAAAGGGAAACCAAACTTCAGGGAAAAATTTAATGAAACTGACACCAATTCCTACATAAATGTTGTGCCCTCAAAGTATTATTTTCTACAAGAATTTCACAGCCTTATCCTGTGTATAATTTAGTATTTTTTCTTTCATACTAAAGCAGATTATTTCAATTTTAAAATTGCAAGATTTCTTAGAAAGTTAATGAGACAGCCACCTTTGTGATGGCTACTTCTACAGAATCACATATAGTTTTAGCCAAAAACACAAACAATCCACATTAATTCAGTGACGGTGCTGGATCTAATTGGACCAGAGACAGCTCCTTCTTCCAAAAGTCTTTTCCTAGGGGATGGAGAACTGTAATATGATGGAAAGCTCAACAATGACAGGAGAGCAGCAAGATCCCAGGCTGCAGTGAGCAAGGATTTCCTCAAACACAACATCAGTGGGCACAGAAATAGGGAGGGAGGGAGGGAGGGAGGGAAGGAGAAAAGCTACATATCTTCAGAAGACCTCAAGCATGCAAGAATCTCCAGAGAGATACCCTTGCTTCCACTGCGAACCCTTAAATAAGGTCTGGCTCCACCCCTTCTGCTCCTCTGGGTTGGCCCTGCCTTCCTACCAGGTGTTTAATCACTGTTTTCAAGCATGTCTTAGCATTTCCACTACAAGAACCAAATCTGGTATCGTGATTGCTTGGTTGGATATCTGTGCAAACTGGCATTCATCCAATTTGTCAATGGCTTGAAGTCATGTTCAGCTTATTGAATACCATTCTTCCAGAGTAGAAAATATGCTGGTGCTTTGCTACTGTATTTTTTTTCTAACCTGCATCAGTCTTCAAAGGAGAAAATGAGGAAACTGGAGGAAGAGGTCCATACTTCAGCTGGCAACATACAGGTGCCACTCTGAGGACTGTCATCCTCTTACCAGGTGGCACTGCAGGGGAATGGGTCTTCTCACATGCTTATTTCTCATAAGGCATTTTGGGAAGGGGAAAGGAGGCACCAAGGCTGGACAGATGGGAAACTGGGGCAGGCAAGATTTACAAAGGAAGGTTCTAGCTCTGGAGGTTCTAGCTCATGGCAGGAATCTGCAGTGGATCTTCCACCTGTCATCTGCAGGAGATGGGGGACTTGAAATGACTGTTTGGGCAGTCAATGCAAGAGAAGTACTTCAGCTGCCAAGATCATAATGTTTATTATTATCACTGCTGTGTTGTAGCAGTGGATAAAGTGGACCATTATCCACACAACTGAACAATAAATAAATAAATTACTAGTAATACCCTGTTCTTACTCAATACTATCCACTCATAGATTTCAAACCTCTTCCCAAGGCAGGCTGACATTATTATACATATTTTTCTGAGAGGACAGCTGTGGTAGAATGACTCCTCCATGGTTACCCAGCAATGCAGGAATATACTGAGACTAAGATACAGATCTCCAGAATGCAAGTTTGGAGCCATATACATGTCTTCCCATGTGTGCTGAGTGTCCATTCTTAATTTTTTTTTTTTTTTTTTTAAAGCTTTTGAGGAGCAATACACGTGCGTTGCCTTCAATAAATTATTATTGGTACTGTTGCAGACTCAAAAACTCAAACCCATTTTTCAACGGAAGAGGAAAATCTGTGACTAAAAAGTAGGCATGAAACCTTGTTTTTCCAATTGAGTAAACCACATCTGAAAAGGCTGCTTCTTCTGAAGAATGCCAAAACGTCTCTGGCTATATCTCTTGGTCACACAGAATTGTATAACCTGAATCAATACAGGCCAATGCACCAAGGCAACAAAGATGAAAAAGCTGTATAAAATTTGCAATAAGGTATTCCTACAGTCACCTTTCTGTTGAACAAAATTTATCTGCAAGAAAAGAACAACTGATGTTAATAGTTTGCCCACTCTTGAAAGCAGTTACTATGTTTACCTTGATTTAAATAATTACAAAGCAATGATTCCCCAGTGGGAAAGGTGTAGTCTTGATCTGCCCAGCACCTCTGGTAAATCCATGACTGCCTTAACCCATCATTAACAGAACAGTTTAATACTTACAGTATTAAAATGTTCAGATCCTTTGAAAATCAGCTAAAAGCTCAGAAACTCATTTCCTGAAGTGACTTCTACCTCATTATATTTACCCTCCCAGCCATCTCCAAAAAGCCCCATACATATTTGCTATTGGTGAGAGAAAGTCTTGAATTTTTACCTTTTTTTTTTTTTTCCTTGGTGAATTCAGGAGCAACTTCCAAAGTTACTGTGTATGTCTTAATTTTAAGCTGTGCTTTTTGTCAAGCCTAGGCTTTGTTTATGCACATGTTCTCTGATGGTGCTGAGAGGTCACCAGGGGCTGTGCCAGTATGCATGGAGCCATGTAGGAGCACTAAGCAACATGGGGGCTGTGTTTGCCCTCTGCACTGTGGCTGTTGGTTCATCAAGGGTGGCATGCAGGCAGCTGAGTCCAGTGCTGTGGTATACAGCTGTACACCACAGCACTGAACACAGCTGCTTCTGGCCGTGGCTATCCATCTTACCTCGTGTACTTTTATTTTCCCACTGCCCCATGCAGCTTCCTAAGACTAGGGGATGTTCTGATCCAAGCTCCAGGTGAACTCTGGTGACCCGTTGTTTTATTACTTGGTTCAGTCCCTAGAGGCTTGGCTCGTTTTAATTTCAATTCATTCCACAATAGAGAAACCTATAAAATCTGATGATCTGAATCAGAAGTGAGAATGATCTACTAGGGGGAAAAATAAATGTAGGAATCTTAAACTCATCCATTTTATTATCTTACTGAAAGCTACTGATAGATGAATGTATAGTAATGAGAGTGTATCTGAATTAACAATGACACAGCAACACTAGATAAGGGTATTGGTACCCCATATTTAGTCTGCAAGACCTCTGGTCAGGAGGCATTGATTTCCCTTAGTCTTGTATTCACTAAGCTTAACCATTTTCCCATGCATGAGTATACACTTGCTTTCTCACTCTGTCTCTCACAAAAACCCAAAGCATTTGTCTTCTTTCATCATTTTCTTGACATCCTATCATCAATTTTCTGTGTTACCACCTAATTTAATCAGAGTTATCTAATATTAATGCAATTAAAAAAAATACAGTGCATTACAATGAGGCTCAAGCTGAGAATACAAGAGTAGAGGAAGTTTCCAGTTGGGTAAATGGCTGAAGTCCAAAAGCAGTGATACCAATAGTCTGCATGTCTTGTAACAGGTTACTGAAAACATACACTGAAGCAAGTATATAAAAACTCTCTTCATCTTTATCCCTAAGTAGTGTTCTCCCTTTCTTTCTCTTCTGAT